TTAAGTCACAACAATAGAAGAACACAGTCTGCTGAACATAATACTACACAAACATTAGATGTTGCCATGGTTTAATTGCACATAACATGTAAACATTCACAGTGCAGGGAGGAAAAAGTATGTGAACCCCTAGCTTAATGACTTCTCCCAGAGCTATTTAGAGCCAGGAGTGAGCCAACCTTGACTCCAATCAGTGTGATGATATTGGATGTGTTGCTGACAGCTGTCCTGCCCTTAATAAACACACACCTGCTTTGGGTTTACTGGTTTCAAGAAGTACTGTCTGATGTGAGCCATGCCTCGCAGAAAAGAGCTCTCAGAAGACCTACGATCAATAATTGTTGACTTGCATGAAGCTGGAAAGGGTTACAAAAGTATCTCCAAAAGCCTTGATGTTCATGTGTCCACAGTAAGACAGACTGTCTGCAAATGGAGAAAGTTTAGCACTGTTGCTACTCTCCCTAGGTGTGGTCGTCCTGTAAAAATGACTGCAAGAGCACAGCGCAGAATGCTGCATGAGGTAAAGAAGAATCCCAGAGTGTCAGCTAAAGACCTACAGAAATCTCTGGCACATGCTAACATTTTTGTTGACACATCTACAATAAGGAAAACATTAAACAAGAATGGAGTACATGGGAGGACACCACGGAGGAAGCCATTGCTGTCCAAAAGGAATATTATAGCACGTTTGAAGTTTGCAAAAGAGCACCTGGATGTTCCACAGCACTACTGGCAAAATACACTGTGGACAGATGAAACCAAGATTGAGTTGTTTGGGAAGAACACACAACACTATGTGTGGAGAAAAAAAGGCACAGCACACCAACATCAAAACCTCATCCCCGCTGTAAAACATGGCGGAGGGAGCATCATGGTTTGGGGCTGCTTTGCTGCCTCAGGGCCTGGACAGATTGTTGTCATTGATGGGAAAATGAATTCCAGAGTTTATCAAGACATTTTGCAGGAAAACGTACGACCATCTGTCTGCCAACTGAAGCTCCGTAGAGGATGGGTGATGCAACAGGACAATGACCCAAAGCATACAAGTAATTCAACAAAACAGTGGCTGCAACAGCACAGAATACGCCTTCTGGAGTGGCCCAGTCAGAGTCCTGACCTCAACCCGATTGAAATGCTGTGGCATGACCTTAAGAGAGCGATTCACACCAGACATCCCAAGAATATTGCCACACTGAAACAGTTTTGTGAAGAGGAGTGGTCCAAAATTACTCCAGATCGTTGTGCAGGTCTGATCTGCAACTACAGGAAACGTTTGGTTGAGGTTATTGCTGCCAAAGGAGGGTCAAACTGTTATTAAGTCCAAAGGTTCACATACTTTTTCCTCCCTGCACTGTGAATGTTTACATATTATGTGCAATTAAACCATGGCAACATCTAATGTTTGTGTAGTATTATGTTCAGCAGACTGTGTTCTTCTATGGTTGTGACTTAGATGACGTTCAGAGCACATTTTATGCCCAATTCATGCAAAACTCCACGTAATCTCAAGGGGTTCACATACTTTTTCTTGCAACTGTATTACTAAACCACACTTGTCATTACCTGCTTTGTATAAACTTTTACAAGCTTTTAGTGATCTATCTGGCTATAAAAATAAACACTTCAAAGACGGAAGGTATGTCCCTTAATACCCCTACCAAAGACCTTTTACTGCTCCAAAAAAACTGGTGCATGTCATCTATTAAATACCTTGGCACTCATATAACCCCAACTTATGCTCATTTGTTTGAGGCTAACTATCCCCCCACTGTTTCGGGAAATCTATGCTCTCCTAATTCAGTGGGATGCCTATAAGATATCTTTCCTAGGTAGGGTAAATGTGTTAAAGATGTCAATCCTGCCAAAGCTACTTTACCTATTTGAGACTCTCCCAGTCGCAATACCACAAGCACAACTGCAAACTCTACAGCGAGCGTTTCTTAGATTTATCTGGCATGCCAGAAAGCCTCGAATTGCGAGAATGGTTCTTCTGACATCTAAAAATAATGGAGGCCTAGGGGTACCAAATACTATTTAGCCACTCATTTGAGACAAACACTATCATGGTTCACCCAACAACCCAGAACAGATGGGCAGAGATTGAACTAGGCTATATTTATCCGATCCACACATGTTAATTGTTACGCCCTTTTCATTATGCATTACCCCTATCCCCTCCTCCCCCTTTGCTCAAATCGATGAAATTTACCCTCAAAATTTGGTCAGCCTGTGTGAAATCCCAGCAGTTGTTGTCCATGTGCTCTCCACTGTTAAAAGTTTTGGTATAATCCAGAGCTCCCAGATAGTCTGTCTTAACCACTGATGAGTTCTTGGGCAATTAATGGGATATTTCAACTTCCCATATGTATACATGGCAAGCAGCCCGGAGAGAAAGCAGGGAGTTTTAGTGGCCATCATAAACAGGATGTCATTTTAATTACATGAACAAGTCTCAGACCCTAATGGTCCCTACATCATCCTGTCTGCACATTGGATAACATCAAATGGACCTTAATATGCATCTACATCTCAAACACTCTCCAAATCTATTTCCTCAACAAGCTTATGAGGAAAATCCACAAGCTGCAACAGGGGTCACTAATTCTCTCCAGATCACAGCCTAGGTACTTACAATCTGACAATGAAACCTGTCACATCGATGCAAAGGTTCCTAATGGCCAACAATCTTTACATATTACCTGCGCCGCCATTGGCGGCTATAGATGTTGATCACCGGGTCCCAGCCGGAGGTTCCCCGCCGGTACCCAGTGATCACTGAGCAACAGTGAAAGGGGAGAGGTCTGTGTGTAAACAACACAGATCTCTCCCCTGTCAACACCCACATGCTGCTTTGTATTGCTCTGCAGGAGCACCAGCAGGAGCAAGGAGGTCCTGATTGCCCTATATACTGTAAATATTTAGTTAGACTTCATTTAGAATACTGTGTTTAGTTCTGGAGACCTCACTTACAAAAAAATATTGATAACAAGTCCAGAGATGGGCAACAACATGCTGAAAAGTTTGAAGAATAAAACATATTAGGAGAGTCTTCAGAAACTTCATTTGTGCAGTCTGGAGGAAAGAGGGTAAAGGGGAAACATCATTTAAACCTTCAAATACATCAAGTGGATAAATAAAGTTTAGGACGTATTTTTACTATGAAGCTAAGATCAAGAACACAGGGACATGACCTCAGACTAGCAGGAGGAAAGTTCAAAATTAAGCTTAAGAAGTATTATTTTACTGAAACACTTGTTCATGCATTGAATAGATCCCCATCTTGTGCATTTCAGCTTTGGCTGCCAGTTCTCAGGAAAGACATTATTTTGCCATGTGAAATTATACCACATTCACTAAGCTCTGGAGAAAATTTCTTTGAAAACTGCAACTTCCCTTGCAAAGTGAACAGCCTATATGCATTAGTAAATCAACCCCATATAGTAGAAATACCAATGAAATATAGTAGGGTGTCTGCTAAAATATACTTTTATTCCGTTACTGTTTTCAAAAGGTCTCAGTAGTAATAAAACCGTGTATGGGGGGTTAAAGTAACAGTAGTAAATCAATAGATTACAAACCCGAGAGAGACTGGTGTGGCGTGCTCAACATCAGCGAATCAATAAGGGCATATGGGCTGTTGGTATGGAAGCGAAAAAGCTCTCAGGCATTCCAATGGCTTATCAACTTCTGGGTAGTTTGCATTCTAGCTGGGGTATTGCACATGTACAGGAGCACCAGAGAGGGATACCTGAGCCAACAAGAAGTGCAAATGCAAGGGGCACTTGAGATATGAGTAAAGTTAAAGCTAATGTGGCAAAAGGGGATAATGTGTAAAAATGAAAGGCGTTGAATTCTTTTCTGAGTAGTGAGGATTGTTGGATGAACTTTTGTATTGTGGTACAGTTCGTATATTTACTTTGGAACTGTCCATATAGGATATTGGTTTCACAGCTTTTGTTTAATTGATGTAACAATTTGCATCTACTTTTTGAAAAAAAAAAAAAAACTGAATGGAAAAGAAAAGATTTTTGCTTGTATAAAGTTAGCTGTATCCATGTACCTAGTGAATGTTAGAGAATGAGAAAATACCATCCCTAGCTAAAAAAAACAAATGGGGTTTTAAAGGCGCCATACCACAAAAATGCATTTACAAACTATATAGCAAATACAACTTTATTGATAACATTCACACCACTGTTGTGGTAATAGAAAATTGAAGCGCATAGTGCATTCATCTTAAAAAGCTTGTAATAATAATAACAAGCACAATTGATATACATTAGTGCAGAATGAGGCTTCAGATAACCTGAATATCATAACTAGCATAATTGGTACAAAAAAAAGCTGTGCTATTGTTCTCCATAACTGACATAATTATTGCAAGAAGATATTTTGCTTTTGTTTTCCAATGCATTTGGCAGGACGCAGCCTGCTTTTTCAGGGAGACAAAGTCTAAAAGTTCTGAAATTATACAAAATAAACCAAAAATTTAAAATAAACATATAACATTGAACTCATAATAATAAATCTAACACGCTCCATTGGCATTTACCCAAAATTACATCAAAAACTTTGCAGGAGGCCAGTGAAAAACAGCATGAGCACATAGTCCAGGCAAAGATAAGGAGGATCTCTCACTTAAGGAATATCGATGTCCGCCAATTGAACACAAATTATCAGTCCGCAGCAGGAGACTATTTTGAAAAATTTGAGAAAAAAAAAAACACGTTTTTTCTTAGTTTTTGTTATAAAATTTTGTAAATAAGTGATTTGTCTCCTTCACTGATGTGCGCTAATTAGGCTGCAGTGATGGGTACTGATAGGCTGCACTGATGGGCACTGATAGGTGGCACTGATGAGAAGGCACTAGTAGGTGGCACTGATGGGCATCACTGATGGGCATTGAAAGGCAGCACTCATATATGGCACTGATAGGTGGCACTGACTGGTACTGTTAGGTGGCACAGACTGACACTGTTAGGCAGCACTGATAGGCAGCACTGATGGGCACTGATAGGCGACACTGATGCGCACTGATTGGTGGCACTGATAGGCATTGATAGGTGGCACTGACTGGCACTGATAGGTGATACTGAAAGGCAGCTCAGATGGGCACTGATATGTGGCATTGATGTGCACAGGTAGGCACTGACATGTGGCATTGATGGGCACCTGCAGGTGGCATTGATGAGTACTGACAGCTGGCATTGATGGGCACTGACAGGTGGTACTGCTGGGGCTACACTGATCATCATGGCACACTGATGGTCAGTGTACATGCCCCCTCCGAGGAATGCCGATTACCGGCTCTCCTCTTGAGCTGTCAGCGTGACAGCTCGTGAGGAGAGAAATGCCGATAACTGGCATTTCCCTATTTACATGTGATCAGCTGTGATTGGACACAGATTATTACATGACCGAGCCTACATCGTTTGCTCTTTCCATTGATCGGTGATCCGCTGTGTCCGATGGCCACAGCACACCACCGATCACCATGCTGCGCGCTCCCGGAGCCGCACACGCACGATTATAGTGGGAGGACGTCATATGACATCCTCCCAGAACAAGAGAACCATCTTGCTCCCGTCATTACCTTATATGGCAGTTGGGAGGCGGTTAAACAATGCATTATTTAACCACTTGCCTACCAGGCACTTATGCCCCTAGTGGCACTGATGAGCTGGCAGTGATATGCAACAATGATGGGTACTGATAGGCGGCACTAATAAGTGACACTGACTGACGGTATTGACTGGCGGCACTGCTGTGCACTGATGGGTGGCACTGCTGGGCACTGATAGGTGGCACTGCTGGGCGTCACTGTTGGGAACTGATGGGTGGCACTTCTGGGCACTGGTGGGTGGCACTTCTGGGTACTGGTGGGTGGCACTGCTGGGCACAAGTGGGTGGCACTGCTGGGCACAAGTGGGTGGCACAGCTGGGCACAGATATATGGCACTGGTGGGTGGAACTGCTGGGCACTGATCATCAGGGCACTGATCAGTGCCCTGATGATCAGTGCCGATCCCTCCTCTGACAATTGCCAGTTATCGGCAGTACTTTCCTCACGTGTGTGACAGTGAAATTGCAGCTGATAACCAGCAACTACATTTACTGGTGATCTGCTGTGTCATTGGACACGGATGATCATGTGGTTAAAGGCCGCTGTAATTGGCCTTTTACCACATCACGATATCAGCTGTGTCCGTAGGACACAACGATCATGGAGATCGCCAGGTGCGCGCCCCCGGGGTGCACAGGAGGGTACGTTCTGGGAGGACATCATATAACGCCCTCCGAGAACTGGCTCGCCGTAGTGAAGCCATCATTCGGCTATCTGCGGTCGGCAAGTGGTTAAATAACCACAACCGCATAAGTTGTACATAAATATTACATATCCAGAATCATAATAAATCAAAGATAATACAATACAGAAATGTTTTCAAAAAGTACATACAGTGAGGAACAGAAGTATTTGAACACCCTGCAATTTTGCAAGTTCTCCCACTTAGAAATCATGGAGGGGTCTGAAATTCACATTGTAGGTGCATTCCCACTCTGAGAGACAGAATTAAAAAAAAAATTCAGGAAATCACATTATATGATTTGTAAAGAATTTATTTGTCTTGCACTGCTGAACATAAGTATTTGAACACCTGAGAAAATCAGTGTTAATATTTGGTACAGAAGACTTTGTTTGCAATTACAGAGGTCAAACATTTCCTGTAGTTCTTGACCAGGTTTGCACACACTGCAACAGGGATTTTGGCCCACTCCTCCACACAGATCTCCTCTAGATCTGTCAGGTTTCGGGGCTGTCGCTGAGCAACACGGAGTTTCAGCTCCCTCCAAAGATGTTCTATTGGATTTAGGTCTGGAGACTGGCTAGGCCACTCCAGAACCTTGATATGCTTCTTACGGAGCCACTCCTTGGTTATCTTGGCTGTGTGCTTCGGGTCGTTGTCATGTTGGAAGACCCAGCCACAACCCATCTTCAATGCTCTGACTGAGGGAAGGAGGTTGTTGCTCAAAATCTCACAATAAATGGCCCCATTCATCCTCTCCTTAATACAGTGCAGTCGTCCTGTCCCCTTCGCAGAAAAGCACCCCCAAAGCATGATGTTACCACCCCCATGCTTCACAGTAGGGATGGTGTTCTTGGGATGCAACTCATCCTTCTTTTTCCTTCAAACACGACGAGTGAAGTTTAGACCGAAAAGTTCTACTTTGGTCTCATCTGACCACATGACTTTCTCTCATGCTCCTCTGGATCATCCAGATGGTCATTGGCAAACTTCAGACGGGCCTGGACATGTGATGACTTGAGCAGGGGAACCTTTCGTGAAATGCATGATTTGAAACCATGACGGCGTAGTGTTCTACCGAAAGTGACCTTTGAAACTGTGGTCCCAGCTCTCTTCATGTCATTGACCAGCTCCTCCCCTGTAGTTCTGGGCTGATTCCTCACCTTTCTTAACATCAGTGATACCCCACGAGGTGAGATCTTGCATGGAGCCCCAGTCCGAGGGAGACTGACAGTCGTCTTTAGAATCTTCCATTTTCTAACAATTGCTCCAACAGTTGATCTATTTTCACCAAGCTGCTTGGCAATTGCCCCGTAGCCCTTTCCAGCCTTGTGGAGGTCCACAATTTTGTCTCTGGTGTCTTTTGACAGCTCTTTGGTCTTGCCCATGGTAGTAGTTGGCGTCTGACTGACTGTGGGGTGGACAGGTGTCTTTAAAGAGCTCAGACAGGTGCTACTAAGTTAGATTAATGAGTGGAGTAGAGGTGGACTTTTTAAAGGCACAGTAACAGGTCTTTGATAGCCAGAATTCTTGCTGTTTCTTAGGTGTTCAAATACTTATGTTCAGTAGTGCAAGGCAAATAAATTATTTAAAAATCATACAATGTGATTTCCTGAATTTATTTTTTAAATTCTGTCTCTCAGAGTGGGAATGCACCTACAATGTGAATTTCAGACCCCTCCATGATTTCTAAGTGGGAGAACTTGCAAAAATCGAAGGGTGTTCAAATACTTCTGTTCCTCACTGTACAAAAAAAAATACTTAAAAATAATAATATTAGATACATCACAAATACGCATATACAAGAAATGTAAACAATACTCAAAATGTGAAGGAAAAATAATAAAAATATACGGTGGCTGAATATCAGGGCAAAAAAGGTTTGAAACTCAATGAGTCATTTAAGCCCAGAGGCTGCATTGCCGCCAAATTGTGTATCCATCTCACCTCTTTTTGGAGGATACGGCAGTCCCAATCACCACATTTAGGGTCCAAATGTATTCTTTCAAGAGCAAAAAACACATTGCGGATTCTTGTAATGATACCAGGTCCCAGGTCTACTAATGGGGATGAAATATCTTCCATTTGGATGGCTGAAACATGATCATAAATTATTTTCCAAAACTTACGTTTGGTTTTGCCAATATAGAAACTACCACAGCTACATGTCATCATATACAGAACACCTGCCGTTTTGGCAATTGACATAGTGTTGTGTTTCATGCATCTCTCCATTCAGCAGAATATGTTTTCTGCCTTGGGAAAGATGTATTGGCAATATACTGTACACAGCCACCACAAATAAAGGTTCTTCTATGGCGGCATGGGTCCATCCTTCCTGATTTATTGAAATGACTATTTCCTTGCCCTTCACAATGTAGCCACAACTGAGTCAGCTTTTAATAAATACCAGTATTTGTTTACCATTTGTTTACAATATGGCGGATTTTAGTTGTAATTGCTGTTGTTTATTATACCACATATTTTGTATTAATCAATATAAATAGTAGGTGTTGTTATAAATTGCTGAATTAGAACTAGCTAATAATGTGAGATCTGAAAGATTCAAATTCATGCGTGATTGTTGGTTTACTTAAAAAGATTGTAATATTAATAATAAGGCAATGCAGAATGCAGATTTTTTCAACATTTTATTTGCATATAACCACAAGCTAATAATCAAGTGATTCTGAGGCAGATGCATTAAGAATCAGATTATTAGCTTGTGGATATTCAAATAAAATGTAGAAAAAAGCATATTGCCGAGTAAACCAACAGTCACGTACGGATTTGATCTTTCAGTCCTCACATTCTAGTTCTAATACAGCAACAACTACTAGATTAATTATGCACTATAATAAACAACAGCAGCAAATCCTCCATATTGTAAACAAATACTGGTATTTATTAAAAGCTGACCCAGTTGTGGCTACATGTGTGAAGGACAAAGCTGAGATTACATATCATAGGAATAGATCAATTAGAGACACTTTGATACATAGTCATTTCAATAGATCAGGAAGGACGGACCCATGTTGCCATAAGAGAACCTTTATTTGTGGTGGCTGTGTATATTGCCAATACATCTCCCAAGGCAGAAAACATATTCTGCTGAATGGAGAGATGCTTGAAACACAACACTATGTCAATTGCCAAAACGGCAGGTGTTGTGCATATGACATGTAGCTGTGGTAGTTTCTATATTGGCAAAACCAAACGTAAGTTTTGGAAATTTTATGATCATGTTCCAGCCATCCAAATGGAAGATATCTCATCCCCCATTGGCAGATATGGGACCTGGTATCATTATTTTTATTATTTTTCCTTCACATTTTGAGTATTGTTTATATTTTTTGAGTATTGTTTATTTTTTTTTGTATATGCTTATTTGTGATGTATCAAATATTATTTTTTTTGTATATTTTTGTATGTACTTTTTGAAAACATTTCTGTATTGTATTATCTTTGATTTATTATGATTCTGGATATGTAATATTTATGTACAACTTATGCGGTTGTGGTTATTTAAATAATGCATTGTTTAAGTTTGATGATGATCAATTCTGACTCTGAAGAAGGCGTTTGGAATCATGAGCATATATCTGTGTAATAATGTCCTTTTGACGTGTATGTATGTGTTGGACTTGGCTCATGTGTGCGCTCTGGCCAGGCGTTTTGTTTGTTTTCTTTCTGGTATATCCGGCTGGTAGCTGATCGGTGTTTGACCTCCATTGTCTTTATACAATGACTTCTCAAAAATGGCTGCGATCATGTGAAGTCCGGCGTCATGGCACGTGAGCTGGTGATGCCGGGCATCATGACGCCATGCATTACGTTGATGACGGCGTTGTGCATGTGCCATAGCTATAAGACCACTCTGTCTGATCTGGTATGCATCCAATTAGCATTTATTAATGGATCTATTTAGTATATCTTTCCTTTTTCTCTTTTTGTTGAGGAGAGTAGAACAAATTGTAGTAAGTTTTGCAACAGTGCATTTGAGAATTAAACGCATCAAGTTGAGAGTCCCATTAAGGATATAGTAGACATTTTGTATTGTTTGTATTGTAGTTCCCTTTTTTAGGGTCTTTATAAATAATTAGTGTAGGGAGTAGGGATGTAGTTTGTAATTGCCTGGGACACTCTACTAAACATCTTTGATCTTTTTGATGATTTTTTAGTCTCCTGCTGCAGACTGATAATTTGTGTTCAATTGGCGGACATTGATATTCCTCCTTATCTTTGCCTGGACTATGTGCTCATGCTGTTTTCCACTGGCCTCCTATGAAGTTTTTGATGTAATTTTGGGTAAATGTCAATAGAGCTTGTTAGACTTATTATTATGATTTCAATATGTTATATGTTTATTTAAAAATTTTTGGTTTATTTTGTATAATTTCAGAGTTTTTATACCTGAAGTACCTGAAATAAATATATATATATATATACAGTGCTCAGCATAAATGAATACACCCCTAACAGATTTGTCAGAACACCTCTACTTTCCTTTCAGAATTACCATTTTCTGTGGGATACTATACTACAAAATGCTCTCCTCAAATGCGGGCCATTCATTGCAAACAAGATTTGGTAATTTGCACACACAAAAAAGTATTTTCCTTACAAATTCAATCAAGACCATTTTGCAAAAATGAATACACCCCAATGAAAGTCTTAGG